CCGGGTGGGGGGAGTTTGGGGGGCGGGTGCTGCTGGTGGTGGTGCTGCTGTTGCTGTTGCTGCTGCTGCTGCTGCTGCTGCTGCTGAGGTGCTGCTGCTGCAGCTGCTTACCGGTGAGCTCAAGGTCCAAAGAAACGAATTCGGCCTTGCGCAGCACCTCCCGCAGCTGCTGCAGATGGCGGCCCCAGAGAAGGCTGCTGGTGGTGTGACCAGTGGTCACCATCTTGCAGGGGCTGCAGGGGCCGCCGGCAGAACGCTGGGCAGCGGGGGGCGCGAGGGAGGAATCCTCCGGCAGAACTGGCCATTAGAGGCGTAAAAGTGATAAATAAATGAAAAGAAATGAAAAGAATTGAAATTAAAACGTCCGGGAATGCATTATTCCGGAAACGGAGGGAGAAACGAAGCTGAATCGGCGCACACAGCGGCACGGGCAGCAGCGCGCGCTACACCCGCAGAAATGAAACTCTTTCCAATAATTCGAAAGCCAAAGTCCCTCAAATCATATTTTCCGCAAAATTAAAGGAAAGATCGAGGCGGAACTGGGGCGGATGAATAGATCTGACCGAATGCAGACTCCAGCTGCGACGATTCCGCCAGTCTTGCAGGGCTTGGGGTGTACGTACACCTGGCAGCTGGAATGACCTCGAATTGAAAGTCTCAGTTTTTCCAAATTTAAATTAATTTCACTTATTTAATTTAGCAGAACTGAACGGAAAATGCATGCAGTGCGGGGCTTGGGGCCCCGCGTGTCGGGTGTGGGGCGGCGCTCCCTCCCTCTCCGGCGGCGGCGGCAGGGTGAATTCAGAATCAGTTTGAGCCTTTTTGTTCATTTATTTCAAATAAATTTATTTTAATTGTTTTTCAATTGAAGGAAAACGCGAAAAAGAACAAAAGGAAGTCGAAACAGCTGGCGGACCACGAGGTAAGCTGGAGTTGCTTGACGAGATTTTGGCCGCTGCTTTCTTTCGGGTCTTCGCTCTTTTTGCGTTTCTTTCTTTTCTTTTTGCACCTGCAGTTCAAATTCATTTCTTTTTGTTTTATTTTCATTCATTGAACTCCTTAAATGGCCTTTATTGCCGCCGCTTCGGGCTTTCGGATGAATAAGGAACTAGAGTCTATGAGGCCTGCGCGGCCTGGTGATTTCTTATCTCTTGGCTGTCTGAACACCCCAGGCGGTTCATTCTTGCCCTTTCGAGCGCCTTTATTGCATTTAGTTCATTTAAATTAATTTAATTCATTTTATTTGTTTTATTTCGTCCATTTTATGCAACTCTTTTGGAAAGATGACTTAGGAACTAGAGTCGATGAAGCCGCCGGCTTCTGATTTCCAAATTCTCTTGGCTGTCTGACCATTTTGTATCTTTTGTGTTCGTTTTTGTGCAAAATGGAAATAATTTGGAGTCCCAAATATCATTTTTGTTCTTTTTTTCGTTTAATTGTCCTTTATTAGTTCTAAAAAGCTTTAAATTGGACTTAATTGCTTTTTATTTTCCAAAAAGTCCCATTTGGGTTTATTTTTTTCAACTTTCTCCCGTGATGATATCTGCGATGGGCGGACAGAACTGCGCGGCCGCGCCCGCAGCTGTAGAGCATCGCCGAGTCTGAGTTTGGACTTTGAAAAAAAAAATAAAATAAATAAAATAAATAAATAAATAAATAAAATAAAATAAATAAAATAAATAAATAAATTAAAAGACCAATGGCCCCTTTATTGGCACATTTTTGTCCGTTCTTTCCGAATTTCGGGGTCTCGAAGCCTCATTTCCTCTCCGTCTTGTCTTTATTTCCATTACTTCACTTCATTTTATTTCATTTTATTTTATTTTATTTCATTTTATTTCTTTTTATTTCCAAACTGCACACCAAGCCGGCCCCCCCGCGCCGCCTTCGCTCTGCGGCCCCGCATTGCAGCGGAGGCCCTCGCGGGGCGGCGACTAAGCCCGAAGAGTCAGTGCGACAAAACCCTCTTTTAGGGTTTACGGGGCCCCCTTTTAGGGTTTTGGGGGCCCCCAGAGGGCCCCTAGGGGCCCCCCGGGGGGCCCCCAAGGCCCTTTTGGGGCCCCGGGGGCCCCTCTTGGGGCCGAGCCCTGCCTGGCTGGAGGCCCTTGCTGGTGGCCTTTGAGTCAACTTCGGGTTCGGACAACTTGCGGAGAATTTTATTTTGTTTTATTTCAAAGTTCGAAATAATTCAAATATTACTTTGCTGCACTTGTGCTGCTGCTGCCATCTGTGCTGCTGCTGCTGCTGTGATCTGTGCTGCTGCTGCTGCGACTTGTGCTGCTGCTGCTGCAGGTCTGGGGTGTACGTACACCGGAGAGGTGGCGGGGCGCGCGGGAGGGAGAAAAAAATAAAAAATAAATTCATTTTTGTTTAAAGCTGCATTGTGAGGCCCCGCCTCTGGACTCCGTTCCAGAGGAAAGTGTTGTTGATGGGTTCGAACTTTTTGTTCAAAAGTTTAATAACTTCTTGAGCAGCAACAGCTCCAACTAGTGCTGCTGTTGCGGGGAATTCGCTGCCCCTGTAGCTCACCAGCTGCTGCACCACTTTTGCTGTTGCGAACAAACGACAGCCAACGGCCTTTTCCATTTCTTCCAACTCCAACATCACCAAAGCAGAGTCCCTTTCCACCAGCTCTTGCTGCTGCTGCATAGCTGCTGCTGCTGCTGCACCTCCAGTTCCTGCTGCTGCTGCATTTCCAGTTGCTGCTGTAGCTCCAGTTGCTGCTGCTGCTGCTGTACCTCCAGCTGCTGCTGCGTCTGTTGCTGCTGCTGCTGCGGGTTTGGGAGGGGAGCCGGGGAAGCGGCCGAGCTTCGCTGCTGCTGCGCGGCAGGCGAGGGCTGCTGCGAACCAGGGCAAGTGGAGAAATCCGTTTTCTTCGAAAGTGGAAAAGTTGGGATCTGCAAACAAGTCGGGGTCTGCATTGGAATTTTGTCGAAGTTCCTCCGGAACGGCCTGCTGCATCTCGCGGGCGGCGGCGGCCAGCAGCTCGAGGGAGGTGGATCCGAGGAAAGCGCCGGAGATATCGGGGTATCTGTTTGTCAAAAAGAGAAAAAAGGAAAAAAAAGGAAAAAGAAAGTGAAAAAGGAATTAAAATTGCAGCCGAGACGCAAAAGAAAAGAAGTGGGAGGCGGATCGCATCGGAAGTTGAACTGCGCGCGCGCGCGCGGCGGCAGGTGTACGTACACCCGAAGCGCTCACCTTGTGACTTTCAAGTTTGCGGCGTTTTTGCAAAACATTTTAATTTCTTTTTCGGAAATATTCGTTGTGGAGTCCGGGTGTACGTCCAGCTGGCGCAGGAGCGCGCAAAAGCGCCGCTCGTCCCGCTCCGCCTTCTCACAAAAGACTTTTTGCAACTCCAAATAACTCTTCGTGTCTGCGGCCAAGTCCGCAGTCAGCCGGCAAACTGGAAGTGCTTTTTCTTCTTCCAAAAACTTCTTCAAAGAAAGCGACAAAGTCCAAAAGCTCGAGGCCTTTTGGCCCGCGAAGCTCTCCGCCATCTCCAGCACCTGCAGGCACTTGCACTTTTATTCTTTCTTTTATTCTTTATTTTATTCTTTGCACTTTTTTTTATTCTTTTCTCCTTTTATTATCCTTTTCTCTTTCTTTGGTTTTCTCTTTGTTTTGTTCTTTCCACTTTTCACTTTCTTTTGTTCTTTTGGTCTTTTGCTTCTTCGGACTGAAATGCCCTTCCTCGGGTGTACGTACACCGGCCGCAGCAGCAGCTGGCTCGGCTAGGGTTTAGGGCTTAGGGTTTAGGGTTTAGGGTTTAGGGTTTAGGGTTTGGCTTGCCTGTAGGACTTCGTCGCGGGGCCTTGCGGGCTGCAGGGCCCTGTGGAGGTTGCTGAGGGCCTCTTGGAAGTTTTCTTCATTTTCACTTCTTCGCATTTCAATTATTATTTTCTCCAGCTGCTGCCTTGCTGCAGGCCCGGGGCTCAAGTCCACCGTGTCTGCTGCTGCTGCTGCTGCTGCTGCTGCTGCTGCTGCTGCTGCTGCTGCCGGGGTCACTCCCCGGTACCGGCAAAGCGCCTGCGCAGCATTCGACGAAGCCCGGCAGACGCAGCAGCCGCCACCCAACCCTTAGGGTTTAGGGTTTAGGGTTTAGGGTTTGGGCTAGGGTTTAGGGTTTGGGGCTAGGGTTTAGGGTTTAGGGTTAGGGTTTAGGTGGCGGTAGTGTGCCTTTGTGCGGGACGAAGGTTTACGCCTTTTGCCCCTTTCACTGCTAGGGTTTAGGGTTTAGGGTTTGAGTTTCTGCAGGGTTTAGGGTTTAGGGTTTGAGTTTCTGCAGGGTTTAGGGTTTAGGGTTTGAGTTTCTGTAGGGTTTAGGGTTTAGGGTTTAGGGTTTAGGGTTTAGGGTTTGCGAGCCTGTATGAGGATGACGACGAAGGGGACGAGGGCGTGCTGCTGGTCGTCGAGGGCCTCCAAGTCGAAGGCAGCAGCAAATTGCAAAAGAGAATAAAATGGATTTGCAATTCTGAAGTCCATTGCAGAGTTGTTTTCCGCGGCCTCCAGCTGTCTGTACACCCCAGCCCACAAACGCACCCACCCGAAAAAACCCAGGGACCCCACGCACACCAGCGGCACCGCCTCCCCGCTGCTGCTGCTGCTGCTGCTGCTGCTGCTGCTGCTGCTGCTGCTGCTGCTGCTGCTGCTGCTGCTGCTGACTGTGCAGCAGCAGGGGCTGGCGCAGAGGCGCAGCAGCTGCTGCTCCACTTCGAGCGGCAGCATGCAGCAAATGACGGCGTCGAAGGCAGCAACGGGGGGGGGGCAGCAGCGGGGTGTATGTACACCCGGCGGCGGGTTGAAGTGGAAGCTGGGGATCGGCTTTTCTCCGCTTTTCCGGCACTTCTCTTCGCCGTTTCTGCTGCTGCTGCTGCTGCTGCTGCTGCTGCTGCTGCTGCTGCTGCTGCAGCTGCTGCTGCAGCAGCAGCCGAAGCGCGAAACGTACTCCTCCGGAGACAGCGCCCAGGCCTCCAAGTGCACCTCGGGGTTGAGGGCAGCAGCGCCCGCAGCCGCCGCGCTGCAGCGGGGGGCCCCCAGGGTGTGGGGCCCCACCAAGAAGTTTTCACTCAAGTCCTGCTGCTGCACTTCCAGCCCATCTATCAACACGAAATGGCCAACTCCAGGCAGCACGAGATGTCTGAGGGCCTCGCAGGCTGTTGGGGGGGCCCCCAGGAGCAGCACGGAGGCCCCTTGCAGGCGGGACTGGCCGGCGTCGCCCCAGATGCGCAGCTGGCGGTCGTAGCGCTCGGCCCCCCCGGCGCTCATTTTCGAGAACTGAACTTCCCCTTCGTTTTTATTCAATTAGTTATTCCGAGAGCTTCAAAAAGAGGCAAAAAGAGGCCTCTGAGACGGCCCAACAAGGCCAGACGCTGCAGCCGCAGCACGCGCCGCCGCCGCCAGCCTGCAAGCCCGGCCGCGGCGCGCGGAACACGCGGAAAGCGCCCACTTCCCGGCCCCAAACCCTTCAAATTGAAGAACTTAATTCGAAATAATCCAAAAAATTAATTTTAATTCGCCTAGACAAGCCGGCGAAGCCCCTAATCGCCCCCGTCCGGCTGCATGCAAGAAAGCGCGCGTTCCAGCCGCGCAGATCCGCAGCTCTCGCGGCTGGCGAGCCTCCGGTGTCCAGACGGCTGCGTGCTTCTTTAAAATTAGCGAAATTAATGAAATTGATGAAATCAATTCAATTAATTCCTCCGAGTCTCTCGTTGAGGCCTTTAGGGCCCGCGGCGGCGTTTTCACGGCGGCCGCGGCGGCAGGAGGCGCCGATTTCTCGGGTGTATGCGCACCTGTGCTGCCCCTCCCCACCCGCGGGACCAGTTCTTCATCACTTAATTTAATTTAGCAAATCCATTTCTCTTTTAAAGTGCCCTCGGCGGCCCCGAAGGCCGCCCGCTGCCCGCGGCCGAGCGCCGCCAGCCAGCCCCCGGAACTCCAGCCCCTGCACTCGCCTCCCGCTTCTCTCCCCACCAGCAGCAGCAGCAGCAGCAGCAGCAGCAGCAGCAGCAGCAGCAGGACTTGCTGAGCCCTGTCTGCTGCAGTCGCGGGCGGCGATGCGCAGCAAAGTCGAAGTAGCCTCCTCCACTCCCATGCTGAGCTCCAGCCAGCGCCACAGCCGCGCAGTGCAGCAGCTCCAAGACATCACCGGCTGCAGCAAAAAGGCCGCACTCGATTTGCTGCGGCAGCACAGCTACCAGCTGGAGAGGGCCATCGACGCTTTCTACAGCTTGTCAGCAGACCGCCGCCAGCTGCTCCTCTCGCGGGACCCTTCGGGGCCCCGGGGGGCCCCCCCTGGGGCCCCCCCCGGGGGCCCCCCCGGGGGCCC